TAAGGATGTTGTAATGGCCGATGAACAGCACCATGCCCGACAAGGACGCACTCACGCGTGTTCAGGTAAAAAGGGATGAAGGAATTGGTCGGCGACGTCCAGGGTTTTTCTTCGTGCATTTTGTGCATGGCACCACGCAGTCGGCACACATAAGCGCTAGGATCGAAGGAAGTTGGCGTGTTTGAAGGAGGGACTAACTCATCGGGCCGTTTTAGGGGGGTTCCGAAGAGGAGATTGGCTGCGGTGCATCTGAGGTTCGCTTGGAGGGTAGAAAGGATGGACAACTCGACTAGGAGGAGATTGTCGGTACATCAGAAAGGATAGAGCTGAGCTATGTGGGCTGTCTCCAGCTGCCGTTCCACGAGGCCATTTCCCTGTGGATGATATGCCGTCGTTTGAATCCGGTTAGTCCCAAGAAGGGAATTGAAATGGCGAAACAACACGGTGTTGAACTTGAATCCGCGGTCAGTTGCCCCCGTTGCAGAAACACCAAATTTGGATACCTATTGCGTCAGAAATGAATTAGCAGTTGTTTTGGCAAGAGTATCAGGAATGGGAGCAGCAACCGGCCACCGAGTAAAACAGTTGACAGAACACATAAAGTATGTAGAACCGTTATATTGTGGGAGGATGCCAGGGAGACATCAATGCGAATGTGACTGGTACGTACATCCGAAATGGCGAAGGGTCCTCCTGGAGATGCGGTATGTTGATGAATTTTGGTCTGTTTGCATGGAAAATGAGACAGAGTCCTAAGTTACACATTGCGGTTGATACTGGGCCAAACGAATCGGACAGTTATGAGTTTAACGGTTACCCAATCTGCAGGGCGGAATATACGATGAAGGATATTGAAGACCTGTCGTCGCAAAGTTGTTAGGACAAATGGACTTTCGTGTTTGGTAGAAAAGTCACAAGTTACGGTGCTAGTTGCAGTGAGAGGAGGGATATCCTGAAGAGGTAAAGAGGAGAAAGACAATTCAGTTCAGTTCAGTTTTATTAGGGAAATATA